CTATTGTCCTAGAGCATTTATGTACCAACTTTTATTCAAATGTGATGATCAGTACTTGAGATACCAGTATTAATCAATTAATTATGTTAATTAGGTGATTAAGAAGCATAAATATTTACCAAAAACTAATATAGAGTATAGTCCTAAGTTCATTGAAATGTGATGATGAGTACTCTTTAAAAGTGTCATCATAATCTAACGAGTGGCTCTTTAAACATCAGTGCAACAGCCATGGAACAGCAAAAAATTAACTAATTATGCAAATTAGGTAATTAATATGCACAATTATTTACCTCAAAACTAACCAGGTCTCTGCATAGTCCTAGAAATTCTATGTACTTGAGATATTAGGTGAAAAGCTGAAAATTAACTAATTATGCTAATTAGGTCTCTGAACAGTAACTATGTACCAGGTTTCATTGAAATGTGATCATTTCTACTTGAAATATCAAAAGCTGAAAATTAATTAATTATGCAGATTAGGTAATTAATATGTACTGATATTACCCTAAAAATATCAGGTCTGTGAATTGTCATATGATATCTATGAACCAAGTTTTATTGAAATGTTATGATTAGTACTTGAAATATCAGTGGAAAAGGCCAAAAATTGATTAATCATTATGCAAATTAGGTAATTAGTATAAACAGTTTTTTACCCAAAACTAATCAAATCTGCGCATTAGTTCAGAGCATCCATGTGCCAAGTTTCATCAAAATCCAATAAGGGGTTCTTCAAATATCTGTGGAACAGACATGGAACAGCTTAAAATCAGTTAATTATCATGCAAATTAGGTAATTAATATTCATAATTTTTTACCCAAAACTAATCAAATCTGCGCATTAGTTCAGAGCATCCATGTGCCAAGTTTCATCAAAATCCAATAAAGGGTTCTTCAAATATCTGTGGAACAGACACGGAACAGCTTAAAATCAGTTAATTATCATGCAAATTAGGTAATTAATATTCATTGATTTTTACCCCAAACTAATAAAATCTGCGCATTATCCTAGAGCATCCATGTGCCAAGTTTCATCGAAATTTGATTAGTGGTTCTTGAGATAACGGTGGAACTAAACAAGCAGCCTATCGGCTGAGATAGCTCCGCTGTTAGCAATGCACATTTCAATTAAAGAACTGAAGACATCATTAGAAAATGAACAATATGAATAGTATCAAAGCAATAGGACTTACAGTTTTTAACAAGAAGTCGAAAATATCACTTTTTACCAAAAATTACAAAAATATTCACCAAAATAAATTAATTAGAGAATTGAAGATATCATCACAAAACGAACAAATCTGAGAGAGGTCCACATGTAGTACCTATATATGTAATATCAAAGCAATCGGACTTACAGTTTTCAACAAGAAGTCGAAAATATCACTTTTTACCAAAAATGACAAAAATATTCACCAAAATTAGAGAATTGAAGATATCATCACAAAATGAACAAATCTGAG